TTACCAAACCTGGCATTGTTTACTGATCGGCGGTTAGACTAGATATATCCAAGAAACCTCTATACAACTATTATTATTTGAAAGTACCCAAGAAGTTGCACTCCACAGTATCCAGGGTAAAATGGCAGCCAATATCAATGCAACTAGCATTAAGCTAGGTTAGTTGCAAGTATCATGCTGGTGATTGGAGAACTTAATAGGATAATACGTGATGACCAGGGATTCTAGTTACCCCTGCAATACAAGCTGGTGATGACAACAAAGTTTCTCGCTCACCCCTTTGACAATATAGGTTTATTATACAAGGTTAAGTTCCAATAGAGCTTTAAAAAAGTACCGAACTGGTATCAAACTAATATCGAAATGGCACTGATCTATAATAAATTTAATATATGGGTTTTGATCTACTCATATGTTTTTATAGTAAATTTAAGTATCAAAGTGATATCAAAATAGTATTGTTAGAAACTCTAGGTTCTGGTACCATTAAGAAAACCAATAAGAACTTCATCCATAGGATACTTCTGTTACACTTGAAGCATGGATGTATCAAATCCTTTTTGTGACTTGGAGGCAAACCTATATAAAATGGCTGCAGCACCTTTATGCAAAAAACTACTTATTTTTCACCACTTTCAACACCACTCCGCTTGTTATACATCAAGCTATATTTGGAAAGCAGACATGCCAATCCTAATCATAACTTGGAGGCCAACCTGTATATATTGGCTATAGTGCTTTTATGTAATTAGGTATTTATTTAATTTCAGATAGCTGGACACTATTCATAACAAAATATAGATTTTTGAATTTCTTTTTTTCTGTATTCCTTAAATAATGTTAAAAGAGCATAGGGGTTGGACCCCATATAAGAGTCTTGTGTTAAACTCTTTCTAACAAAGAGAGATATATATTGTATTATTAATTATTGTACTTTACATTGTAAGTAAAAGTATAATAAATATAATAAAGTGTGATAGCCATTTGCTCTTTTCAAAAAAAATTTTTTTCTAATTTTAACTTTTATTATACCAAGGTTTTTATAGCTAAATTGAAAAAAATAATATTTTTGAATAGCTGAAGGTTTATAATATAATAGGCTAAGTGCTAAAGTCCAATTATGATATATTTCTTCTTGATTTTTCAAGTTTATAAAAATATTATTAGTTGCACTTCTATTTATTATATTAGTTAATTAATCAATACATCAAATTTCTAATATAATATATTTTCATTTAATATTACTAAATTTATAATCAATAGAATTTTGGATATGATCTTTTATCTGAAACTGATATTTAATTTTTTGAAACATACAAATATGGCAAATCCAAAAAAAATATTATAAAAAATATGAATTTTTATTTTGTCCTCTATAATTATCTGTCCATAATTTAATTTCATTAGCATTATCTATAAAGTAAATAAATTTTTATAATTATATATAAATTATCTTATATTTTAAAATTATATATATATTAATTCTACTTACCTATTATAAAAGTAAAAAATAGATGTATCGTTAATATAACTTCATTTGCTCTCTTTGCTACTTTTTCTTTAGTATAAAAAATAGATCAATATTAAGCAATTTCTTTATTTACTAATCCAAATTGGTATATCTTTAACAATAATGAAAAATATCATTTTCCTGATTGTTGAGAATCATGAAGCAATTCTATATTTTGAGCAAAATCAAAAAAAAATACATAAAATAAAAACTGATCAAACTTTTTGGCCATTTGAATATTATTTTCATAAACCTTTCTCATAGTACGATAATCTAAATATGCATAATAAACTGCTTATCAAGATCTTTATTCACATTAAATTTTTTTTTAATACATGTTTAAAAAATATACATTCATCACATACATTTAATGATTTTCTTATAATAATTTTGCTAAGTTCATTATCATTTTTTCATATTTTTCAAAAACTTCTATTACTTATAACTTTATCTGAATACATTAAATTATAAAAAATAGAAAGATGATTGTATAAATAATAAGATGGAAAAAAAATATTATTATGTTTTTCATATTGTACACTTATTTGTTCATCTACTTTTTTTTGTATATATTTTTGAATTGCCAATGCTTCACTATACTGTTTATCTGTTGATTTAATAAAAGACTTTACTTTATTAACTGTTTCAATAGCTAACTTATTAATAGGTGACCAGCTGAAATTTCTATGAAGTTGGGAAACATTGATTTTTTTTCTTGAACTTGCTTACAAAAATGATAAAAACATTTCTATTATATATTTAAAATGTCTAAAAAAATACATTACAAACTTTACCAAAGTATGGCAATTGATACTTAAAATGAAATTTTTATTTGTGAAATTCTTTATTAGAAGAAGCCATAAGTATTATTATTGAATAATATCATTGTTTTTTGGTTATATTAATGTTTTCTAGTATAAGAGATTACAACAAATGTAATAAAATTTTCTCACTATACATCTTTTTATATAAATAGCATAATTTAAACTTATTAATTAATTCATTAATAGTAACTTGATGCTTTTTGAAAACTTTATCAAATTTTTCTGATTTAGATAAGTTTTTAGTTATACTCTCATTATTAGATTTTACTTTTGTATAATCATGTTCTATTTCTTTATTATACTCTGTTTCATTAAGGTTTGTTATAGAAGAAATCAAACTTAGAATTTCAAAATAAAGTTACAAGTCTTTTGGACTTTCCATTAATAAATTAATATATGTCCAAAAAATCAATTAAGTATAAATTTTTATTCTTATTAGTATATATTGTATATATATTATATATTATCGAAATGACTAGAATATTAATTATATATGTGATTAATTATATAAAATTACAATTTTTCAAGAGATAAATTTTTACTTATTGATTTTTTCTTTCACATATCCATATTATAAAAAGCACATTTATCAAACAGTAATTCTAATAACTTTAATTTTTTAATTATTTAACAATTTATTATTTTGAAAGCTTGTAAAACAGTATTGATAACTTTGAAGAATTATAACTTTGAAAGTTTATTTTTTTTTTTTAATCCCACAATCAGGTTGGTGTCACTTATTTATTAAATCATAGAGAACCATCACATGCATAAGAATACATGCAAAGTACAAATTTCCCCAACCCAATTCACCTGTCTTTAGCCAAAGCCTCTAGATACGATTTATGGGGGTGATGTATTGTTCCCTTAAAGGATGGGATTAAGATTTTTTAAAGTTACAGCACCCACTTTGAAAGTTTATAATATTATGTTTTTTATATTTGATGAATGAGATTTAAATACAATAAATACAAAAGCAACTTCAGTCAAAATTTTAACTTGAAAACAATCTCAAAAGATGTTTTAAAAACTTTTACAATTGTTCAAGAGGTAAAATACAAAGCATTATGACCTGTATTTTTAAAAAAGTCTGGCCAAAAGGAAATGCCTCCAATAAACAAATAGTATTTATTATTACAATATTCCAAACAGTTCTTGATTCAAGTAATAAAAATATTTCAATAAATGAAATGTTAATTAAAAGCAAAGTAAAAAAAAATAAGATAAGTTTTGAAAATCTTTAAAGTATTATAAATTAGTACTAATAATATTTTTAGGAAAGAATTAAAAAAGGATTTTTATTTGAAAAAAATTCAAATAGCAAAAATGAAAAAGTAACTGATTCAATAATTATTAGTCTAGAAGAATTTTCAAAGGTCCATGAAAATACTGAAAATAATCCAAGACAACTATTGAAAATAGAGAATTAGAAAAAAAGACTTTAGCAATAAGCAAAAACTTAAACAAATAGAAAATTATAAAAAAAAAAATTATATAATAATAAAAAATTATAATTAAAATAATTATATAATAATTAAAATAATTTTATAAGCCAATTAAATATTTTAAATTAAATATTATTTAATTATAATATATAAATATAAATATATTTTATTATTATTAAAATATATTAAAGATTTTTAAAAATTAATATATAAATTCTTGCTTCAAAGTCTTTTAACTATAACAGAGATTCTTTGGAGTTCTATATTCAAAGATCTTTGAAAACTTTTGCCCCAAAAATTTTTTGATAATATTATAACAAATACTTCTCTTTACTAGTATTAAATAGAATAATAATTTTCTCAACATCTTAACAAAATCAGCTATTAAAAATACAATTAAATTTAAATTATTCAATATATGTATTTAATTAATAATAGTAATTATTTATTTTGATTGTTTATTAAGTAACAATTATTTTATTTGGTTTTATGATTTCCAAAATCTCATTTATAGTTTTACTGAAAATCTCTGAAACGTGTAGTTATCATCAGCGAATGTTTGACATTTTGCAATTCATGAAATAACAATACTTAAATAAATACGGTCCTTAAAAAAACATCCGTTCAATCGCTGGTTATATCGATAATGTAAAATATTAAAAAATTAAATTAAATAAATGTGCAAATTATAACCAATATGATTGTAAACATATTGATTTATAAAAGGTTGAATAAATTCATTGCAGTTTTTTTTACATAGGATACAGTGTTGTCTTACACGCATAGAAATTTCAGTTATTTTAGTAAAGTGAAACACCAGTTACCGACACGATTAACCAAGAAAAAATTTAAAAAAAGTAAATAAAGAAAAAAGAAAAAGATATATAAGATGCAAAAATAAAATAAGATTACAACAAAGTTTGGTTGGATGAAAATCAAAATTTAAATAGGTTTCCAAAGTTTTCAATTCTATTAACATATACACAAATGGAAAACCCGTACAAAATTTATTAATTGATTGCAATAAAAAGTAGAGAAGGGAAGCATTTTTTCACGATTGACAAATCAGAGTAACATCTTTGTCAGAACGTTCTGAGCTGATCAATAAAATTGAAAAGAGGACCTATCGATTTCCAATTTTCAAAAATAAAAAAGTCATCAGAGGTTGTATAAAGTTTTTCAAAAAAATTAGAAGAACAAGGGATTCTATTGTAAACGTCTTCAATCATCAATCGAAAAACGTTTCCGGGGGTCTGCTTCAAGGTTGACAGCACCATCATGATTTCTTTTTTGAACTATAACAAAAATAATTATCAGTGAATAAGGTTTTTTAAAAATAAATAAGATGCCAGATTCAAGTTATGTTGTAAAAGTAAACTTACAATGATCTTTCAGTCCCGATCCTAAAGTTAAAGAAATTATGCGTATAAGTCAGCATCCGAATAAAACAAAATTAATCATTGAATGAACCGTTTTCTTACCAAAATTACTATGTGCCAAGTATGCGACCAGTATTGATAATACAGTCAACACAATACCTAAAATATCCTATTTATTAAAGAAAGGAATTAGTGATAATCAGATAGGGAGGAAAGATAAAGGATGAACATTTACCAAAAGCGTCAACAAGTTTTCGTCACGTTCGATAATAAACTGGGCCAGAATGTAAATAAAGTTGATTATGGTGACTACTGAAGCTAAGAAACAGATGATCATAGCGATTGTATTTTCAGTTCGCACCTGATTGAATAATAAATATTTATGAGTTTAAAATAATGGGATTTTAGTAAATGCATAATATAAAAAAATCTATACATACTCCCCACAATGCCAAAGCAACCACTGGAATGACAATAACCACCATGATACTTTGAAAGATGATGGTTCGTGTGTTGCCAAAAGGATCACCGAACAAGAATATCAAATTAAGAATTTGAAAACCCATCAGGAGAAAGACATCCAATTTCAGCAACAAAATGAATACTAAAGGAAAATGCAAAAACCATCATATTAATAGGATGTCGTTCTCTTTTTATAATAATAACAAAGTAAACCTGGTGCATACCAAGGTATGTTCGATACATTCCTAGCATAAAGAATATTAAATTAAATTCATGATTATTTTGCGTTAAAATAAGATATAGTTAAATATCGATGAGTAATTAAAAGGAGCTTACTTTGTGTCTTAATGTTTGCACCTATTCTTTTATATATGTTCCATCCAAATTGTTTATACCTTATTTTGAAGAATTATTAAACTTATATTAATTGATTATCGTCGCGGCTACGTAAAAAAGGAAAAAATCCTCGACTTTTACTCACAGTTTGTATCCCAGAAATATTGAATTTACCGCAAAAGCCGTTAAGATTAAAAGTTGTATCGCTTCCCACGTGACCACATTTTTTGAAAACCTTGTAGTTGCGTGATCTAATTCCAGCTGGTCGTTTATGTGATCAATCCACATATTACTCTGAAATGCTTGTGTACCAGCAAAGAACAACAATAATATATTTATTATTCCTATTGATATTATTTCTATCGTGTTCTGTAGTCCGGAAGTTCAATTAAAGATTTATTTTAGTACGAATTCACGATAAAGGAATGAGCATATAAAAGTTTTTGCTTACTTGGAAAAACAGCTGAAAAATGAAGTTTTTGAATTTTTAGTTCAATACAATGTTCATGTTATTTATAAGAGTAATATAGAAATTAATTTTACCGCGGAGATGCATAATGCCGTCAGAAAAGTTTCGATGACCATGAACCAAACATTTCCATCTATAATGGATAGGTACTGTGTTCGATAATTACTATAGTTATACATCTTATGAGAAAATTGGCGGTTGGTAGCATTATCGTACATAGGGGCCAGGCTTGTCAACTGTGTGGTGCTACTCTCGTTTAGCCTCAGGATAACAGCCTCGATCGCAATAGACACGAGCATTTGAAATATAGCAGAAACTATATATAGAATGGTCCAATTTGATTCTCCCGTCCGAGTCCGCTATTTAAAGTAGTCAGTTTAGCTTATTCTTTAATTACAAAAGCATAAATTAAAGTTAAGTATTAATATCCCAAATGTATACGTACCAGCTTTTGGTATACCTTTATGAAGCCCATGGTTTATGAAATTTGAAGCAAAAGTCCTCGCAGAGGATTTACTATCTAAGAGATTTCGCTATTTATAAATATTCCCGATATAAAAGGGTGGACGGAAAATGCCTAAGCTGTAAGGCCAGCCGGTTTCCCAGTAAAGAAGGGTGAAAAATGAACGACTCGTTAAAAAAAAACAGATTCGAATAACTTTTTTAGGCCGTTAGGTAAAATTATAAAATTATAAGCACGATACTTTGTTTTTTCAATAAATGCAAAAAATTGAAACATGAAGGAACGAGTTAGGTAACTTATGTCGTACTTCATAAACATCTTCTGATTAAGTTAAAAGAAAATATTTATGGTTCGTGTGAAACGATGAACTTATTAATTGTGGAATTTATATATTTATGTACGTAATAAGAAGGCGACATAAAAGTTAAACACTATGTAAATGCATCAACAATACTTAACCAAATTGGAACATTAAGGAAGCATTGGGTCTCGAACTTACTAATCAAATTACTTTTTCTTTTTCTGGAACAAGGTTAATAATAGTACATTATGAAAATGATTTCGTTATATTCGTTTAATTTTTTGCGTTTTTTTTTTCTCATAAATTGCTATATCCATATATATATATAACAATTAAAGCGATTTCTATTTTTGCAAATAGTCAATTTTTCAAATTTTTTCATTTGAAAAAATTACATGTTTTGCCAATGGAATGGTATATATTAATCTAGATACTAGACTAATGCCCGCTTTGCATAAAGATGCCTGCCTATGGCTGATCTCGTACATGAAACTATTTGTTTTCTTTCATAATATAATAATATCATTTGTTGTACTATACAACGAAAAACTTACTATTATCAATATATTGAATATACTGTATCTGTTCATAGCAAAAAAGTCATTATTTAAACACAGTATATTAGATATCTTTTTAAAAATAATACCGTAATTCCTTTTTTTTTTTAGCAATTGTATTGTGTTTATTTAATCTTGAAATAGAAAACATAATTGTATCAAACATATATATATATATTATTATTATATTTGAATATCTATTATAAATATTTAATCTCTAGATTTAATTTTGAAAATAAATTAAATAAAATTGTTTTCTCTTGTTTTCCATTTTTAGAAACACTCAAATTTATTGCCAATAATTTATTACTATAGTATAAAAAAAAATTGGTTGTATTATATAGAAATTATTATATTAAAAATTTTATTAATTTTTAGTTTTATATATCATATAAAGCTATAAGCTTAAGAATATGAAAATTTTGTTTTTTCTTTCTTATCATTTTTTTTCCTTTTTATTTTCTTTTCCTCTATTTTACAAATTTTTTTTAATATATCTCTCCTCCTTTTTTTTTTTTATTAAAATTGGATTTTTTTTTTTCTAAAAGTTTTTTTTTTTAAAACTTTATTTTTTTTTGAAATATTACATATTATTTCATTACTTTTTAATTAATAAATTTTTTTTTCTTAGAAATTATTAAAATATAATAATTTTTTTTCTATAATTTTCAAAAAAAAAAATAGATAGTTTATCCTTTCAAAAGATCAATATAGTTATTATTATCAAATTTGATATTGTTTACTAATTAACAATTAAACTAGTTATATTCAAAAAATCATTATACAATTATTATTATTATTATTATTATTATTTTAAAGTGAAATGTATACAAGGTGCATGATCTTTATTGATACATTATATATCTAGACAGATGTCAAGTATCTCTACAAATTAATCAGAAATCGGTTGATATATGGATACCCTTTATATCTCTACAAATTAATCTGCAGATTAATACTGCCTAATGTCTATATTACTATAAGACTACGTCAACCACTATTACATATAATATTAATTGTATTGATATTGGCTACT